TACCGAACATCCATTTTTCATATACAGATACCTAGGATACAGAAGGAGGCAAGAGATCTCAAGGTATTCAAGGTCTTCTTTAATAAAAACCATCATACACATGAAGGCTTCATTGCTTATCTTCTTCCATAACAATTCCCCACCCCAACACCTTCTTCATAATCCCCTTCTTTCCTCTTGTCCCTCCTGTCTTATTCTACCCAGACACGTGGCTTATTATCTCCAAAATATGTCCACTATTTGGTTACCTTGCTTGGTACTTCAACTGTATCATTTAAGTATCTGTATCTCCCACTCCCTCCCTCAGTCCCCAGGGACTTCCTATTAAATACCTGTGGCACAATTTATGATCCTTTCTAGCATTCATGTGCAACCTAGTATCTTGAGCTTTTTCACCTAGGTTTCTCAGAGTTCCTCAGTTACACTTGTTACCCATCCCATGTATGTAGGAAAGGAAGGCCTCAAGAAGTCTGTCAGCTTCTGCATTCAGCAGCCAGGGTAGCATTTCTACTTTGTGAAAATACACAATATTTAAAATAAATAGTTACTGCCACAGTTTATATTTTTTGCTGCCAGGCAGGTGTAATACTGTTCACTTTCACTGCATTCACACTAATCCTTGAAACTCTTTGCTTTGTCAAAATAGGATGAAATAATGGGATCACTATTTTATTGACCTGTATTTACTGTGTGCTTTTTGATATTGCTGTTTTTTTTTTTTATCTTACATGGGTTACTAATTTAATTCTCATAACAGTCCATAAGGTAGCCACTATCTGGCTTAGAGTATGAGGGAAAGGGAAGAATGATCAGGGGCAGTCAGTTTCAGTCTTTTTTCCTTTACTTTTTAAGCTTAAAAGTGGTAATTTATTATTTAGCTCTATATTTACTTCTTTACACTTTTTTTCTTGTAACGTTCTTTTTATTTTATATTTTAATTTATCTTTTTAGTTATATATAACGTTAGAATACATTTTGACATAATCAAAAAAGCATGGACTATAATTTGCTCTAATTCTGTCCCCAGAACCCCCCCTCCCTACTTCTTTCCCTTTACTCTACTGATCTTTGTACAATGGTTTTATTTTTTAATTAGTACCTTGTAGATGTACTTGATGGAGAGATTCACTGTGGTGTACTCGTGTGTACATACAAAAGTTCTTCCCATATTCCTTTCTTCCTCTCCCTTGATCCCCTTTGTCTGCTGATCTTTCCTCTATTTTGATGGAATTACCTCCCTCTTTTTGTCCTATTCTCTCTACCCACCCCTCATTTTAGATTATCAGCTTCAATCTTTGACAAAGTTTTCTTTATTTCTGTGGACATTGTTGTGGATATTTGTTTTTAATCTCTTATCAAGGTAATCTGTTTACTATACAGTAGTACATCTCCTCTGAATTTATAACTTCAGTTGTAGAATAGAAATGCTTTTCCTTTCTCCCCTCTCCATTTTCTCCCCATCCTCCCTCCACCTCATGAGAATTTGAGAGTTCTATTCTTTTATTGGCTTGATAGAAATCCAGCTTTTGATTGGGCTATATTTGATTAATATTCTACAGGGTGTTTTGTTGTTTTTTAATATTTTGGTTTTTTGTTTTTCACTAAAAATCAAAATGCTAGTTTGGGAAAGGACCTTGAAGGTATATATGGTCCATTTCCTTATTATAGACTGAGAAATTACTTGGTGATATTTATAGGCAAAAAAGTAATATAAACACTGAATACTGGTTAAACAAAAATTGTGAAATAAGTAACTGGGCAGAAGGATACAGAGGTAGAGAAGTATAGTGTATCCAAGTGGTATGGGCAGAGTTAACGCTAATCTTTATTTTCCATAGTAAGAAATTCATATATAATGTGTAAAATTGAAAATTCGGGAAGTAATTCTTTGATCATTTTATACAGGAACTTGGAGAAATAACTCAGTGGTTACCTTTGCATAATAGGTATTGGATGGAGAGATGTGAGGCAAAGAAACCACAGGTTTTCTTGATAAGTATACCTTGTAGCATTATATGGCTTTTAAAATTATTTTTATGTGTTTCTGGTTTAAATTTTTATTAAAGTTTTCATTACAATATAATATCATGTTAAAACATTTTTGAACAATGAATTATTCAAATATCTTTAAATCAGTATTATTTATACATGTTAAGGTTTGTTGAATATGGAAGGAATGTTGGCCTTTATGAAAAAAATTAATAGTGACTATTATATTTTAAACCATAATACTACCAAGAATATATTTCTTCATGTGTTCTTAAATTATAGGATATGATAGAATTGTTTCTTCTGCACTCGGGTTTTAATTAATGCCAGCACCAAAAATGCCTCTCAGATTTCTGTCTTTAGCTGAGACTTTACCTTCTGAGCTCCAGACCCTCATTTCCCAACACGTTAAGACATCTTTCTTTGGATATTTTAAGGTAGCCTGAGACTCCACATATTGAAAACCAAACCTGTAATTCTCTTTGTATTCTTGGACTTTTCTGTTGTTCTGTAGTTCATAGAGAAGTCAACCTTGATGCTGCTCCTTCATCCTGATATCCAATTCATTACCAAGCTTAAAAAAACTTGGATTGAACCCAAGGGCTTACATATGCCCTTGGGTTCAATCCAAGTGAGCCCTCAGCCCTATAAATATTTACTTCCTGAATATCCTTTAAATTTTTATACTTCTTTTTACCCAGCCTCCATTGCATCTCTACAATATAAACTACTACCTTTTCCAGGGTAGACTATAGCAGAGTTTTGTAACTGGTTTTCTTATATTCATTTGCTCTTTCCTCAGTACTATAGCCATGTTACTTTCCCGAATATTTCAGTAACTTCCCATTGTTCTTAAAATAAAACCTCCCAAGATTTTTGTTTATTTTTACTGTACTAGATTGAACTAAGAGTTTTGTGCCTGCTAAGCAAGCACTCTACTTACTCCTCGGCTACATACCCACTCCCTTTTTTTATTTTATTTTGAGACAGTGTCAGAGACTGGCCTCAGACTTGGGATCCTCCTGCCTTAGTCTTCCAAGTAGCTGGGACTGCAGTTATGTACCACTACTCCCAGCTAAAACCCCCAATTTTAATTCCCTCTATAAGGCAGTTCATGATTTGATCCTCACTTGCTTTTATTATTCTCTGTTCTTTATAATTTTTCCTGATGTACCATGTTACCTTCTAACCTCTGATTTTGAATGATGTGAAAGAGATGAAAACCATGGCTGGGATAACAAAAAGAAAGATGGCAGGCAGCAAATCCGGTAGCAGAAGGAGGTGGACAGCAAGTTAAGAAAGTTACCTTAATTATAAATTTGTATTTATATCAAACTTGAATCCAGGAATTTCCGTGGTCTGAAGGGCAGGAACATAGACTCTAATACTTGAATCCCCAGCACAAAGGTGCTTAAACTGGATATTCTTTAAGTCTGTGAGTGGCAAATAAATAGATGATGATAGTCCCAATTGTAAATAATAATGTCATAATTATCCAAATTTTTATTAAAATCTCCATCCTTCAGATTGCTTTGCCTTAAAAGTCACTGACTCTTCTATCATTTCTAATTTGTGGTATATCCATCCAGTGAATTTTTTATTTCAGATATCTTATTTCCATTTGGTGGTTCTGCTCTCTTCTCCTCCCTCTTCCTCTTTTTCCTCCTTCTCTTTACTGAGAAGTCCAAGCATATTTGCTCTTACATACATGAGCATAGTTAAAACAATTGTTTTAAAATCCTTAAGTCAGTTCAGGCAGCTGAACCACCTTGGACTTATTCTCCATCGGTTTCCTTTTATCTTGGGCATAGATCATTTTATTCCTCTTTCTTCTGTGCAACAGTTTTAGATTATAATTAGAATATGATTGACATGAGATTCCAGGTTCTGTTGTGTTCCTCCAATGAATATTGATGTTTGGTTTATTTAAGTAGACTAAACTCACACTACAAACTGGAATCTCAGATAAGTTTTTTTAAGCTTAACCTGGTTGCTTGGAATCTGTCTCACATATGTATAGAGATTACGTATATGTACAGAGTGTATTCACAGAGTTTGAGGCTTCATCTCTCTGATTTTCCTTTCCATGATGTAATCACTATGCTCTTAGTGAGTCTTTGTGGTCATGCCAAAGTCTGCCCTTTGGTTCTTCAGGCAAATAAAGACTATAGGTCTTCGGTCTGGGTTTTAGCTACTCAAACCAATTAGATTCTTACTTTCTGGCTAAAAGCAATTTTAAAATGGAAGGTCTTCCTGTTGTTCCCTTCTTCCACATTCTTGCTTTTCTTTTTCTATTTATATTTCTGCCTTAAAGTAGTTTTTTGATACTTTGTCCAATGTTTATAGATATTATTTCTTTAAGAGTTGGTTCAGTAGAATCTATTGAGTCACAGCAGGAAGTGTACATAAAGTACAGTTGTACAGTTTGAATAATTTGAATAATTTTCTTGTTTTGTGTACTCTGTAATATTAGAAAGGCAAGAACATATGGTAAGAGTTTTTTAAAAGTGTTTTAATAATGCAATAAATTACAATTTCACAGTTCCTCTTTCAAGTAAAGGTATTCCTCATTTAGACTGAGGATGTATTTGCCTCTCCCTAAAATTGTGTAAAATAATTATTTTCTCCAAATTTCATTTGCAATATGTATTAGAAACTGCGATATTAAAGAACCTATAGTAAAACCTTTATTTCATCCAATGAATATTGTTATCTTTTGTAAAACAGGAATGAACTAGATCCTGGAAATACAGCAGTAAACTTTAAAGGCCTTGATTCTGTGGAGAAATTTTGGGGGATAGATAGATAATGGATCAAATGTATGCCAGATAGTGATAAGTAAAGAAAAAATATGAGAATTTGGTGGAAAGAGGTGTGGCAATATTTTAGATAGATTGATCAGGGGAAAGCAGTCTCTGAGGAAGTGACTTTTTTTAAAAAAATCTTTTTGTATTTTTTAGTTATAGATGAACACAATATCTTTATTTTGTTTATTTTTATGTGGTACTAAGGATCAAACGCAGTGCCTCACATGTGCAAGGCAAGCACTCTGCTACTGAGCCACAGCACCAGCCTAGAAGTGACATTTTATCAGAGATCTTAATGAATTTAAGAGAGGGAACCCTGTAAGGGAAGAATGTTTCAGGCAGAAGAGCCAAAAGCCCAAAGGGAAGAGTTTGATTGGTTTCTTTGAGAATTCACCAGAAGATCATTAGGAACTGAAGAGGTAAGAAAAGTGGTAAATGAAGTTAGAGAGTTGGTAGTTGGTTAGAGGCATTATAACATCAAAGTTAACAGGGTGTAATTGTTCTGGTTTACTTTTCACAGAGATTACTCTGCTTACTAGGGGAAGACTGGGAGCACAGAAAGGAGAGTTAGGGGGGAAAATGAAGGTAGAGAAGAGACCATTTAGAAGACTTGAAGGGGTGTAAACTAGGTGAATTATGATGGCTTGGGCAAGGGCAATAACTGGTAGGAAAAGTAGTCAGATCAAAATACCTTGTGTAGTAAAGTCAACAAGACTTGATGTTAGATTAGATATGGGATAAGAGAAAAACCAAGTAGGTGAATAATGGAGTGGAAAAGATTGGGAAAGGGTGGTTTGGAAGGGGGGTAGATTAAAAGTTGAATTTTTGGACATATATCTGAACTCCATTAGCCCACCAGTATGCAGATGGCCGGAAAAGGGAGGATCTGGCAAAAAAAAAAAAAAAACTGAAAAGAAGCCACCTGTGGGTAGAAGGAAAGCCAAAACAGTGCATATCTCAGAAGCCAAATGAAGAAATTGTTCAGAGAATGAGGAAATAGTTGACTGGGTCATAAACTGTGGAGTGATCTTTTAAAATGAGAAGTGAGAACTTATTTCGTGACCTGAAAGCCTGATTGGGTAAGCCTAAAAAAGGAGATTAAGAGGAAGGAATAAAGACTAAATTTTAAGTATAAATAGGTATTCCGAGGAGCTTTAGCCCAAAATGAGACAAGTAGACTGGTAGTTGGAAAGATGTCAAAGGAGACTTTCTTAAGATGAACAGCTCTGTAGCATGTTAATTACCCCTTAAGTTAAATATCATTTACCAGTTTCCAGCATTACTCTTTTCCCCTGCAGCTCATTTGTAGAAACACTACTTTGAGTGCCAAAATTGCCTGTGCTTGTGTGTTTTTTATGTAGAAATGCTTTTGAGAAATCTGTAATGCAAATAACTTGGATTGGCAATAATTTTACCTATGAAATGTAACGGAACTGAAGTCACATCAGTTAAAAAGGATTAAGTAAAATTTAATCAAATAATAATCAACTTAAAAGACTTACTATGCATAATAGCTAAATGAGTTTTTATTCTGTTGAGGGCTCAGGAATTATTTTACTATATTAGACTGATGACTATAAAGTGCTAGGTACACAATAATAAATAAAAGAGACTTTATTCTTGCATTCCTAAAATTGAAAGTTGTTCATGAAGATAAAGGAGAAAAACTACAAATAAGAAATTAGTTTTAAAGAGATTGTGTCTTGTTAAATTTATCCTAAAATGAAGTCTTATTTTAAGTAATAATCAAATAGTATGGGTTTAAGTATTTTAATATTTTATTTAGGTTTAATATACCTGTATCCTGTTTATGTCCCAAAGAGGTTTTCAAAATTAATCATGATTTACATTAGGAATGAAAATAAAGGGGTAGTTCTTAACTTTGGACATACATTAGAATCACCCAGGGAACTTATAAAAATCCATATGCTCAGGTTGCCCCCTGACCAGTTATATAAAAAACTCTATGGTTGAGGCCCACGTATTAGAATTTTTTAAAAATACTGATTTAATAGACACAGAGGGAATAATATTGCTGAGCTCCTGAGAATGAGTTGATTATGCCTTTAAGGATATCTGAAAAATAAAGCCAAAATATCAAGTATTATTGGATATAGATTATTAAGCCTTGAACAAAGTATGTGAAAGTTTTTTACAGAACCCAATTTTTTCAGGTTTTTTAAAGAGTTTTAAGTGGAACAAATGATATTTTATATCTCAGGCTATTCTCTGTAATCATTAAGAAAAACATCAGTAAAGTTTTTCATGCTCTTCTTTTAAAAAATGAGGGAAGACAATCCTGACAATAATTTCTTATAGAATGTCTTTTGCCACGGCCATTATAGAGCATACAAATATGAAAGAAATAAACAATATAAAAGTTTGCCATCAGAAATTATACTGAAAAGAGAGTGTATGTTAAGCTTTTTAGGCCAAAATAATATTTTTATCATTTATATTGGTAGGTGCTAAGGCACATACCCATTTGTACTGAAATTTTAAATCCACATAATATTCATTCTATACTCAGTTCTCATTTAAAATTTTTTTTCTTTCTTTCACAGAAAATGCTTGGACAGAAGAGATGATTACTAATTCCATTAAGGCCTAGAATTGCCTACTGTACAGATACTCCTGATCAGGCAATATACGAATGGCCCAAGGAAGCCACCAAATTGATTTTCAGGTTTTGCATGACCTGCGACAAAAATTCCCTGAAGTACCTGAAGTTGTTGTGTCCAGGTGCATGTTACAGGTCAGTGTTCAATGATTTCTGAATTTATTAATACAAATCTGGTGTTTTATAAACATTAGAAGAAAACTCTTCTAAGTTATTGTGCTGTGATGAAAAGAAATGAACTTTGGTGTGTGACAGTCATGTGGCCTTTGCCAACATGAGGTTCTCTGTCCTCTACCTGTAATATGGATACTACCTGTCTCATAGATTAGTTGCAGGAATGAAATGAATTCTGAATGTAAAACACTAATTATGTTTCTATTTTTAGTAGCTATGAGAGTCAGAAACCTTGGATTCTAATACTAATTGGACACTCCATGCATATTGGGCAAGGCTCTCTTTGTACTTCTGTTTTCTTATTGTAAAATGACTGAGTTTGACTTTAGTTCTCAATTCTAAAGAAAAAATTTGTTTTTATACTTTTAATTTAATATGTAAGTTTTCCAATTAATGTGATAAATTGTTACAGTATTCTTAGTATACATAATTTTAGAAATCCGTAATTTTGAAGGTTTAGTGATAGTATGCCTTCCCATTTGAATAAACTGGAAATCTTTTTATCAAAAAGTATTGGGGCTCATTCAGACATATTACTCTTGACAAATGATTTTAAAGATTGAAATTTTTATTCAATCTGTACCTGATATCAGATGACTACATAAATTTTGTTCATACCCTTATCACTATTTATCTGTACTTTTTAATTAGTCTACTTGCCTTTAGCCTAGCCCACTTTTTGGTGTCTCCAGTCCATTCTCTTATATCTGCCTAATTGTCTTTCTAAATGCAGATTCTGTCATGTATTACCTGCTTAAAACCTTTTGATTGCTCTCCATGCCCTTCAAAATGAATTGCCTTTTTCTTTCTAGGGCATGCTGCATTTGGAATCCTGGCTTTTTGTACCGCAGCATAATGATGTCTTATCACTTCTTCCTGCCTATACCCTATGGCTGATTATTCTGAGCTCATGGAATTTTCCAAATTTATCTGACTTTATTTCTAGAGTATAATGGTTAAAAGCATATGTTTTGGCAGTAAATGGACCTGAGTTCAAGTTTGGCAATTATTAGCAGTAATTTAATTAACCTCTCTGGACCTCATTTTGTGACCTTCATTTCCTCAGCTGTACATGAGAATAAAAACTTCACATTCAATTAAATATGATAGGCTGGGTGTAGTGGCGCATGCCTATAATCCCAGCAACTCAGAAGGCTGAGGCAGGAGAATAGAAAATTCAAAACCACCCTCAGCAACTTACTGAGGCCCTAATCAACTCAGTGAGACCCTGTCTTTACATAAAATATAAGGGCTGAGGATGTAGCTCAGTGATAAGCACCCCTGAATTCAATCCCCAGTACCAAAAAAAAAAAAAAAAGAATTAAATATGATAATGTTGGACCTGATTCATAATGAGTGCTCATGTTAGCATGCTAATACTACAAGGAGTAATATTAGTAGAAGACTTGATAAATATTTCGTGAATAAATCAGTTTACATTTGTCAGGATAGAACATGAAAGTTAAAAAAAGAGGGGAAAAGAAGTAATAAGAAAATAGTCAAAAGTTAACAAAGGTATGAGGAAGGAACAGAGATAGTGGGGAAAGATTGTCTACCCCCCCAGAACCCAAATATCTCTAACTTTTCAAATAAAACAATTTTTTAGTAAAATAAATTTACACTGAGAATGTCCAATAAGTCAATAAAAATTAATAGAAAATGCTGTAGATTCTTTAAAATTTCTTAGACTCGATATTGAAAGAACTATTTAGAACACTTCTATACTCAGTAGAGAGTTTAAAATAACATCAACAGGGAGTAAAACAGATTTTTTTGTAGAATTGCTTAAAATATTTTCAAGAATACAAAGAAAAGCTCTGTGTATGATAATCAAGATCATTGTACTGTCATGTGTAACTAATTAAAACAAAAAAATAAAAAAAAAAAAAAACAAAGACAAGCTATAATGTACACCTGAGTATGATCTTCAGGACATACTAAGAAAACAAATGTCCTTCTGTATAGACAAGAACAGGGCATAAATATAAACGAAATATATATTTGCCTCTGATTGCAGAAATACTGAATTAAAAACAAAATTAATAAAAGATGGTTAACAATAGAGGATAAGAAGGGCATACCAGATGGGGATAGAGTTAAGACTAAGACTTCTCAACATATCTTTTTTTTAATTATTTTGATCTATGTAAATGGAACCTATTTTTTAAAAAATAATTAAGCATGGTTTTCAACTTTACCAGCGGTTAGAAAATATTATTTGGATTTCCTCTGGGCACCCAGAAGTTTCTCAAAAGCTCACTGGTCTATTTGGTGTACTCCCCAACTACTAATGAGGACTAAAATGAAACCTATTTTGCTTGCAACTTATTTGTGAGACAGACCACACTTTTTAAAAGTGAGTTGATGGGACTGGGGTTGTGGCATGCATGAGGCACTGGGTTTGATCCCTGGTACCACATAAATAAGTAAAATAAAAATATTGTGTCCATCTACAACTAAAAAAAAATATTTTTAAAAAAACAAGTTAATTCATCCAGGTAATTTGCTTTTTAGCTAATACAACAAGAAATGTGACAAAAGTGGGATGGAAAGGGTCTCTCTGGGTACAGCTAGGATGCAGGTCTTCCATATTTGGGAAAATAGTGAATCAATGTTGGAGAAGATTGATCATAGGGTAGTCTTTGATATTATCTATAATTTTTGTTCATTCAGGAGTTTGGGGAAAAATGAAAAGGGAACTAGAAGTAATGATTCAGAATTTTTTGGTAATTTTGAAGAGAATGCAGATTTGTGGCTGTGTACAAAAGAACAATGATGATTACTCTTTTTCTCTTTTTTTTTTTTTTTTTTTTGGTCTTTCAAAACATTACATAGTTCTTAATACATCATATTTCACAGTTTGATTCAAGCGGGTTATGAACTTAATTCAATCTGGCTCAATTAAATATATCTGTATATGCTAAGGGTGTGTGTGTGTGTGTGTATTTTTTTTTTTTTTTTTTTAGTACAGGAGATTGAACCTAGGAGCGCTTTACCTAGGTACTGAAGTAAATCTCTAGCCCTCTTTATTTTGAGACAGAGTCTTGCTGAGAGTCTCATTAAATTGCCAAGGCTGGCCTCAAACTTATGATCCACCTCCTGTCTCAGCCTCCTGAGTCACTTCTATTACAGGAGTGTACCACCACTCTTGGCTTGATTCTCAAACATTTAAAAACTCACATCCCTCCACCCCATTTTGATACATTTAAAGAGAGTTCTTTGCAGTTTCCCACCAAAAATAATCAAGACTTCTTTGAGAAGTAGATAAGTAGTAGGACATGATCTTGTTCTATCAGAAAGCAAGGAAGCCGAAAAAACTAGGTTCATGTTGTTTGTACAGAGAAGCCAAGGTGACGCTGTTCTGCTAGCCCAAAGATGCAATGTAATGGCCACAATCAAAACAAAATAATGAAGATGTAGGAGTTTTTAATAAAACTAAAAACAAATATTAATCATCTTTGGAGATTTCTAGGGTACCAACTTTAAAAATTATTCTGAAAAATATATATACTGCCTTTTCTGTACAAAAAGAAGAGTAATCAAACAGTTTAAAAAGATAGGTCTTCAAGAGAGAATTGCTGCTAATAAAAAGCATGCATTTTATAATTGGGATTTTACCAGTACCACCATTTTACAACTCCTAAGGAAATAATATTTCTAAATAGTGGTTATCCATAACTGCTAATAGTCATTAGCTGGATCAAGCTGACTGCATAAGAATTTACGAAGAAATTGATTTCTCTAGGGGATAAGTAATACAAAGTCACATGAATTATAGTAGAGCTGGGATTAGAATATTGCTTTTTAATATGAACATAGAATAATTATTAATTAAAAAGGATTAAAAGGATTTTTAAAAGCTCAAGTGAACTGAAGCAAAAGGCTTTGCAAATATAAGTAGGAAGCATTCACAAAGGGAGTGAAATTGGATTTGGTAGGAATATACATTTTATTTTATTGCCATATTCATTCTAATGGCAATGATGACTTAGTAGAGGTAAAGGAAAGATAAGATTTCTATGTTTCTGAGCTTTTGCTTAGTAAGAAGAATATATTAGAAAGAGCAGTAAAGTTAGCAAAAAAAAACCCTGTTAGGCACATTAATTCAAGTCTCATTATTATAAGTAATCAGATGATCAAAATTGTGGTCAACTTTTCAGTTTTATTTGGAAAACTAGTATATATCAATTTAAGACTTAAAAGAATTTTTGTAGCATGAGAGATTTAAATTGTTGGTTCTAGGTTGGGGAAAAAAAGGTTGACCAGTGCCCACTTTCATATTACCTGTTCAAACTGTGTGGATTGTAGTATTTCTCAACAAGATTTCAAAATGCCTTGTTAATACAGTTCTTTCTTATGTGATTTTTATCCCATATCGAACTGCTTTGTTCCTCATTTTCTTTAGATCTAAAACTATCCACTTTTTCTTAGGCTCCTGATATAGTCCTCGTTCAATTTTTTTCTCTTATGTCCAAGTTGCATTGACTAGTCTTATGTGATTCATTCCATTATCAGACACTCATTATCCTGTCTTCATTTCCTTTCATCTGAAATATCAACAGAATGACCCTTTGTGTCTTTATTTCTCTTTTCATTCTAATTCAGTAGCTCTCCCAGTAGCTCTCCCCATTTTTTTTAATAAAAGTCAAACTCTAATGTGACTCATTTTTCAAAAATCCTTCATTGTTGAATCCTAGTCTGCTTTTCCAACTATTTATTTAACAAAATTTCCAATATGAACCTTTAACTCCAGCCAGATCTGTCCCAATCACCTTGTTTGGGAACATATTTTTAATTACTGTTACATTTATGTCCTCCATTACATATGCCATTCCCTTAACCAATAATTCATTTCTTTCCTTATCCAATTCTGCATATCCTATGAAAACCATCAGGCCATACCTCCTTTATTGTCCCTGTCTTTTCTTAAAGTAGTCTACAGTTTTAACTTGTATTAAACTTCAATATTAATATGCACATACTTATTCATATTAACAGTGTTACTTTTTCAAAAATCTATTATTTGACTCCCTGTTTGAGTTGTTCATATATGTCATTGAGTCTTTTTGCAGACTCAAACATTGCTGTGCATATGGCAGGTGTTCAGTAAATACTTGTGGATGATGACTCTTAGTCATTTTATTTGGAGGAGTCTTTAAAAACAGCCTATTTGTTTTTGTTTTGTTTCATTTGTTTCTGTAGAAGTGATTTTTATGGTGCATATATTTCATATGTAAAAAGATATTTTACAAAAGTAAGAGAAGGCATGGGAGGAACTGATGACATTGGTATGAATTTTAGAACTTTTAACATTTAAATTCTAGGGGCTGGGGATGTGGCTCAAGCAGTAGAGCGCTCGCCTGGCATGCGTGCGGCCTGGATTCGATCCTCAGTACCACATACAAACAAAGATGTTATGTCCGCCAAAAACTAAAAAATAAATATTATAAAATTCTCTCTCTCTCTCTCTCTCTCCCCCCCCTCTCAAAAAAAAAAATTTAAATTCTAAGGGCTGGGATTGTGGCTCAGAGGGAGGGCTTTCGCCTCGCATTTGTGAGGCACTGGGTTCAATCCTCAGTACCACATAAAAATAAAATAAAGATATTGTGTCCACCTATAACTAAAAAAATATAAATATTTTTTTAAAATTTAAATTCTACAGATAACTTGTTAAAGAGTCATTAGTTTATAAGATTTATAAGCATTTGAATGTGCAAACACTAATAAAATATCATTTAACTTTTCAAAAAATATTTATACAGCATTACGGACTTCAACTTGATTATTTTATTTGACATTAAAATAGTATTTTTAACACAGTTTTATTGTGTTAACTTGAATCCATACCAAATAGCTTCTGAAATAGCGATTTGATTCACTTTCATCTATTAATAGTTTTCCATTACATTAATGAAAATTTTTAATTTAACCATCTGCATAAAAATAATTCTCAAAAGAGTTCAAATATATTAAAATTGTTTTGATCATTAACTTGTTATTCAGAATATTTTTGTGGTAATGACAGTCTTATTACTTCTAATTGTTAACATCAAAGTGTTTTTATTTTGTTTTATAGAATAATAATAACCTGGATGCCTGCTGTGCTGTTCTCTCTCAAGAGAGTACAAGGTATCTGTATGGTGAAGGAGACTTGAATTTTTCAGATGATTCTGGAATTTCTGGTCTACGCAATCACATGACTTCTCTCAATTTGGACTTGCAGTCACAGAATGTTTACCATCATGGAAGAGAAGGAAATAGAATGAATGGAAGCAGGACTCTAGCACACAGCATTAGTGATGGACAACTTCAAGGTGGTCAGTCGAGTAACGAACTATTTCCGCAGGAGCCACAGACAGCACCAGCTCAAGTTCCTCAAGGCTTTAATGTTTTTGGAATGTCCAGTACATCTGGTACTTCAAATTCAGCACCACATCTTGGATTTCACTTAGGCAGCAAAGGAACATCTAACCTTTCTCAACAGACTCCCAGATTTAATCCTATTATGGTAACTTTAGCCCCAAATATCCAGACTGGTCGTAATACTCCTACATCTTTGCACATACATGGTGTACCTCCACCTGTACTTAACAGTCCACAGGGAAATTCTATCTATATTAGGCCTTACATTACAACTAGTGGTACAACTCGACAGACACAGCAACATTCTGGCTGGGTATCTCAGTTTAATCCCATGAACCCTCAACAAGCCTATCAACCTTCACAGCCTGTTCCTTGGACTACTTATCCTGCATCTAATCCTTTGCCACATACCTCAGCCCAACAGCCAAATCAGCAAGGCCACCAGACCTCTCATGTCTATATGCCCATCAGTTCACCTACTACTCCACAACCGCCAACAATTCATTCATCTGGTAGCTCACAATCTTCTACCCATAGTCAATACAACATTCAGAATATTTCAACGGGACCTCGAAAAAACCAAATTGAAATCAAACTTGAACCCCCACAAAGAAACAATTCTTCAAAATTGCGTTCTTCTGGACCTCGAACCTCCAGCAGTTCCTCTTCAGTCAACAGCCAGACCTTAAATAGAAATCAGCCCACTGTTTACATAGCTGCCAGTCCCCCAAATACTGATGAGATGATCTCCCGTAGTCAACCTAAGGTCTATATTTCAGCTAATGCCACCACAGGAGATGAACAGGGCATACGGAATCAGCCCACAGTCTTCATATCCACAAACTCCGGGGCATCTGCTGCCTCTAGGAATATGTCTGGGCAAGTGAGCATGGGTCCTGCGTTCATTCATCACCACCCTCCTAAAAGTCGAGCAATAGGCAATAACTCTGCAACTTCTCCTCGAGTGGTGGTCACCCAACCCAACACCAAATATACTTTCAAAATTACAGTTTCTCCCAATAAACCCCCTGCAGTCTCACCAGGGGTGGTGTCCCCTACCTTTGAACTTACAAATCTTCTAAATCATCCTGATCATTATGTAGAAACAGAGAATATTCAGCACCTCACGGACCCTACCTTAGCACATGTGGATAGAATAAGTGAAGCACGGAAATTGAGTATGGGATCTGATGATGCTGCCTACACACAAGGTAATATTAACTAATGGAGGGGTAATTTCTCATGCTAGGTTTATTGTTTATTTGATTCCACAGCAGAAATGGGCATCAGCATTATTTCATCTTTTAAATGGTGCCCCAGCTGATCTTAACATTTGAAAGTAATCCATAGAAATTTCAATTTTATTATCATATAACTTGAAGTTTGATAGTGTTATCAGCTCTTCAGAATAATCTAAAGATTATTTATTTCTTTATGTCCATAACACTTTTCTTTTCAGTTCTTCTTGTACCTGTGCTGATACTGACTTTCCTTTAAATTTTATGCAAATAAAAACCTATAAATTATAAACACACTTTAATAAGAAATAAGTTGGGTTTACCTTCTTTAATCAGATACTTGAAGAAAATAATTTTCTTCATTTTACTGATAGGACATTTTAATTCTTCTATTAAGGTCGAAATTGCTACAGAGTCCTAGAATAATTCAACTAAAGTAAAACTGAATCTTGTTCCTGATACTTATCTCTTTAAGTTTCCCTAAATGTCAGTTAATTATTTTTTTAATTGGAATTATGAATAAGGATGATGGTTTTAAATCTGTTTTGATTATCTTTTTCTGAAAAAGACTAGTTTATATTGAGATAAAACTAGATTATTTCCATATTGATTCAAGTAGACAGTATCTGTCATATATTTTATATGACCTCCTTAAGCTACTTAATTTTCAGTAGGAAATGTAAATTTATCAGATAAGAAAGGTTGTGTTTTTTTTTTTTAATGTTGATGCAAGTGTGTAGATTAAGTGGGAATCTTTTAAGAAAAGACATGTCTTAGTCATCCTTGTATCCTCAGTGAATTGTTCTGTGTGTTAACTTTGGTTGGAAAATACTATGATGTCACCTCCATGCAGCATGCAGCCCCTACTACTCCTAGCACCATTCATCCTTTTAAAAACTTCTAAATACACTGACTTTATTACTGAATTTACCCTTAGAGGAGCCTGTTCTGATTACACTAGAAATTGTGTTCAAACTTATATTTTCCTTATATCTGTGACTGACTGGAACCATTTTTTTTTTTCTCTTTTTTGTTTCATTACATGAATTTCAGTATATTATTATTTCTTCTACTGATATTTATTCCTTTTCTCTCCCCAAAGTCTTTTTTCTTCTCCCCTTCTGTCATAACAGCAGGCTGCTTATATTTGGGTAGTTGCTATGATTTAATGAAGAGAAAAATTTTTATGAAGATAATTTGACAAAGGAAATTAGCAAGTAGACATTTTCATTTAATCAGATATAAATTATATCAACAAAGCTATTCATATTTAACTCAAATGTGAAAAGAAAATGCTTAAATATGCCATCCCCAATTTTTCTATACCCATTCTCTCTTGAATCTACTGCAGTCAGGAATTTTTCCACTGTAGTCAAACAGAACTATTGTGGAGGTCATCTGTGATAGTGTTGTTACTATACAGCCAATGGATATCTGTCAGCTCTCATCTCTCTTGATCTATAGGTCAGCAGCATCTGAAACAGTAGGTCTCCCTCTTCTCTATGCTATGAAATGTTTTGTTCATTTAGCTTCTAGAATACTATTCTAGGATTCCCACTTTTTTTATTCCTTGCTGGTTTTCCCACATCTCTGACCTCTCACCTTTTTGCTCTCCCATTTCTTTGTTCCCAGTGATATCAGAGTCTCACAGCTTAATTCCTAAAGCTCTTCTCTTTTTCTGTACTTAATCCTTAGGTGATCTCATTTGGCCTCTAGACTTTAAATAGCATTATATACCTGCAACTCCCAAATTGGTAACTCAAGCTTAAATTTCTTCACTGAGTTCTAAGCTGGTTTATTTAACTACTTATTTTGCATTCTCACTGGTACATTTAGTAGGCATTTTAAACTTTCTGTGTCTTGAAACAGCTTTGACCTTCCCCGCAGCTTGCTCTGCCTTTGCTCAGTCCCACCTTAGTTACTGGCAATTTAATTTTTGTAGTGAACAGAACAGAAACCTTGTAAAACATCCTTGATTCCATTTCACATCTATTTTGACAGCAAATCCTATCAACACTAACCTTAAAAGTATTCAAGAATTCTCTTACCGTAACTCTGGACCAAGCCAGCATCATCTCAGACAGATACTCTAGTAGTCTACTTGACTCTCACCTTGCCTCGGGCTTGTGGTCTTCTCTCAACTTAGCAACCAGGGAGGGATATGCTCTTCAAAAAATATGTCACTCCTCTGCAAGTGATGGCTGCCTAGTCCAGAGTAAAACCTGTGAAGCCTTGCATGCTCTGCTGCTCCTGCCCACCAGCTCTTCTTTCTTTTTACTCACCACTTTGCTCCGCTGTGGTTTAGCACTACTGGTCTTACTCTTCCTTAAGCATGGAAGCTATACCCTAGGACTTCTGTGCTTGCTATTTATATTGTCTCAGTTTATCTCTCAGAAATTCACAGCCCCCTCCTGTGCTTCAGGTCTTTACTCAAAATCACCTTTTCAATGAGACTTCTCCCTATCTAAACTTAACTGTCACCCAGCATTTCCTACCTCTCCATCACTGCTTACATTTACTCAAGGGATGGGGAGTAAATAATGTAATATTAAGATATACAGTAATTAATACTTGCTGAAAGCTTACAATGTTTTCACCACAGTCTTAAATATTTATTTCCCACAACTAACTATAAAATAGATACTAGTATTATTCCTGTTTTCAGATTAAAGTACTTAGGAGCAGACAGATTAAATAACTTGCTGTGGGGACCATATCTGCCTAAATTTAAGAATTTAGTAAAATATCATTCCATAAAAAACAAAACCAAGGGTCTGAGGTTGTGGCTCAGCAGTAGAATGCTCACCTAGCTTGTGTGAGGCACTGAGTTCTATCCTCAGCACCACATATAAATAAATAAAATAAAGGTCTTGTGTCCACTTCCAACTTAAAAAAAAAAAGTAGAGAAATAAAACAAAATAAATGGGTATAATTAAAAATAACTTGAAGCAGTAGAGTAATAACTTGACTGATGTAGAGAACACTTTGTAAAGCACCGAAAAATTAAAAAAAAAAAAAAAAAGATCCCTTATAAGGGCAGGGTCTGGTTTGAGAACAGAAAGCCTACCAAAGTAGATTTCCCCAGAATCCACCACTCAGACAGCCTTCAGACAACTTAACAACCTCGACCACATAAATTCTTTAAATATAACTACATATTCATTGGATTTCATAGCATTCATGTGGCTGTGTGCTGTGGTATTATCTGTGTGTGTGTACCCCATACTGAGGCGATGCTGCTCTACAACCTTTCTTCTACTTGTGGCTTTCTGTTTACTGTGGACACAGATTTGTATATCATCCAGTAACAGAATCTTGATCTAGTATTTTATTAATTTGGTTCAGGACAAATCAAAGGATTGTCCTTTTCTGGGGGGAAAAAAATGCATCTTTTAGGCTTCTACCCTACATATGTGTGATACAAAAGTTTATACAGCACTGTCTACAGTGCTAAATGAAGTGACTTGAGTGATAACCAGTATTTAAGAAAGGATCTTTCCCAAACTCCTAATTCCAGCCGTGTAAATAAAAGAAACAGTTCTGCATCCTGCAATAAAGCTGATCTCTCCAAAGATCCTGGAACAAACTGTTAAAGAAATAAACTAAGCCAGGTCCTGAAATCATAGGAAAATATTTTCCCAAATTGAGGAGGAAGCATACAAAATTGGTAACCAAGATTTTTTTGTTTGGTCTAACATTTGAAATCTAAAAATACTATAATAAAAAATGTTCAAAAAATGAGTTTTAAACAGATACATTATTTGATTTGCTACCTGCTATAAAGTGATCAGAAGAAAAAAATAAATTAACGAAGCTTCTCCCACCACTTGGCACTGAGTCTAACACTACGAAACCACCCCTAAAAGGAAGTAAATTAAACTTGAGTCACTAAATTATTACAGAAATCCCAGACAAAAATGAGTGGCGGCATGTTAGCACATGCCTGTAATCCCAGCGGCTTGGGAGGCTGGTAGGAGGATCATGAGTTCAAAGCCAAAGCCAGCCTCAACAAAAGCAAGAGGCTAAGCAAATTAGTGAGACCCTGTCTCAGAATAAAAATACAAAATAGAACTGGGGGCATGGCTCAGTGGTCAAGTGCCCCAGAGTTCAATCTTCAATACCAAAAAAAAAAAAAAAACAGTACTGGATAGAAGAAAAAATTAATGTGGGAAGAAATTTTTAAGTTTAAAATGTTTAGATATGAAGGCTTTACCTTTCCTCTGTATAGCAAATACAGAGGTGAAAATTGCCTATTGGTAGTAATGTCACCAGTCATAGCTACACACACACACACACACACACACACACACACAGATACTAGGTTGATTCTGACCACCTGACTAAAACAGACCCCCTTTGAAATTAAAAGCAACTTTCTATTAACTGCTTTTCTGCATCCTATATTTCCTCATGGTGAGGACAGTTGCCAGGGGAATTAAGTAATATTACTTAACATATTCTTTGGCTGAGCACACCCTAACTAAATTTGTATATGTATATCACCTGGCTTTTATTTCTGTGAATTGACCAATTCCATAGAACTTGTAGAGAAGCGGTTGAACTGCTTCCCAGTTTCATCAAACTGCACAAAATTTCTTTTTCCTTTTTAGATCTTTACCTATTCCTTCTGCAGGCAGGCAGCCAACCAAATTTGGCCAGCCAGGACTCAGGCAGGTTCCCTGGCTGCTGGACTGCCAGTTTCCTGAGTACCTAACTTCTGAAAAATAGTGAAAAAATACTTAGTTATCCACACTGTATTGTGATTTTCTGGAGCCCTCCCCTTCATAGTACTATGCCTTTTGTACCACTACAGCATTTATAGACACAAGGACAAAATACTTTACTCTTTCAGACCAGTTGTCATGATGGGGAAAAGGCCTACTTTGTGCATTTTGTTATAGAAGCCAGGAACTCTTAGCCCACTGACATGACTGCTGAACATCATTTCTCATTCTCATTTCTCTAGTATTCAT